CAAGAAGGGAGTTTCAGTCTAATGTTTTCTGTCTTCCTGCTCCTCCACATAACCTCTGTTTCTCCACGTGGCTAGCTTGAGCTTCTTCATGGTATGGCGATCTCAGTGCGGTTAGACTTCTTACATGGTATCTCACTCTCAAGAGGGAGCTTACAAGTGGCAAAGGCAGAATCTTCAAGTCCTTAAGGCCTTGTCTCATAAATTTTAAGTTAACTTCATTAGATTGCACTTGTCAAATCAAGTCACAGGGCCAGCCCAGATTAATGGGAAGGGGAAAATCATTTCTACTTCTTTTCTGGTGGCAGAGAATTTGTAGTTATCTTCAATTTGTCACACCCATTCTGTCTCATGAAAAACTTAGTCTAGATCAAAGTAATTAGCCAATTTGAAAGAGAGGTGTACTAAACATCTAAAATAAAACAAGCAAACACAAATCATGACATGTTACTCTCAATATCTGCAAGGACAGATTTAACATAATGCCAAATATTTTCTAACATGTATAAAAATGTCAGAAACAAACCAAGTGTATAAACTCTTGTATAAACAATGTCCCTAATTATATTAAAATAACCAGGCAAGAGAAAAATAACAGTCTTGTGCAATATGCTGCAAGCAGTAAATTCTACATTACAGCAATATAAAACATGTACGTGAAGAATATAAATTACTTAATATAAGATGTTGATTCATGAAAATCATCATTCAGTTATAGAAATTTGATTTTCCAGTTCTGTATCTTTGGAACTATGAATTTATTTGGCATCATGCTTCTCCTCTATCATCTGAGAAAATGAACAGTTGGGTCTCCTTAGTTCTAGAGCAGGGGTCTACCTGAGAAATTCAGGTGGACTATTATGCAATCATTAAGAACACAGATAGCGCTATGTATCCTACCTATGGAGAGAGAGAGAGAGACAGAAAAAACAAATTTAGAATTTACAACAATCCTGTTAAGTGATATTTTGTAGTGAGGAGAGGTGTTAAGAATGTTCCCTTTTTATTTTAACACACCATTGTTATTTAATTTCTTTCAACCATAAGAATACATTAATTTAGTACTTTAATAAACATGCAAAATATGTTTCCGTGCACTTTGATAAGTTGCAGACAGTAAAGACAGGAGGGAGGAAGCTGTCCCTCCTCATTCCTCTGTCTAGGCCAGAGGTCTCTATAGCCCTCCTGATGCAGTTGCTATAGAAAGCAGCTCCAGGCGCCCCTGGCTAAGAAGGAGAGGGAGGGGTGTATGGGCAGAGGCCTAGAGTCTGGTGACATTTATCTGGCCCTCTCACAAATATCCTCTCCAAAGCTGCTTTCTTCTCCTGGCTGCAAAACTGAGTGCCAAGTTGGTTTACCTGATCTGTGCACATCCCTCCGGTGGCTGAAGAATCAAGGGATGTTTTCATGTTTATTTCAAGAGAATTTTACAGTCTGGCTGCCAGGTGTGTACCAAGGCAGGGTGTGTAGCATGGAAGACCGTGGCAGCGAGAAGCACCCTTGGCCTTTGGTCTATGCTCCTGCCAAATAGTGAAGTCCTAACCACCCTCAGGGTGTTCCAAGCCAAAGATGTCCTGATAACGTTTATGAGCCTAAGACAAGTTACAGGGATTACCTGTCTTTGTCCCCAGAATCTTCACACAGGTGAAAGGAACATTCAAGGGCCGCTTGAGAGGCAGAAGGAGAATGAGAAAGGTGGCATGCACCCTGAGCAGGGTTAATGGAGAAGGAAGGGCTAACAGGCCTTGGCACTGATGGGAGAGCCTCACAGGCACCTGCAAGCTGGTTAACATGAACATGAATGAGGCTTCTATATATCTGCCTACGGATCCTACTTACCTTTTCCCTACTGCTTCCCCTGTGAGTCAGTGCCAAGTTGCCTGTCTCCACTCACTCTCTCCATGATGGGAAGCACCTCCCAAAGTCACTGCTCAGCTCTGCGTACAGTTCTAGCCACAACATTTCCTGTCTTCCAGGATCTCAGAACTCCCTCAGAGGGAATACTAGTGGTTGACTTGTCTGGTTTTTCTCCCTAACTCCCTTTGCTGTGGGGTTTTAGGAAGAGGACTAGGGCAGCATTTGCCTAATCATCTCTGGGTCCCCACCAGACCTCCCTGTACCCGGTGGCCACACAGGAATCCAGAGCATATTAATTGTTCAGTGGCAGTACATGTGCTTTAGAGTCAGAGAGGCTGGGATGGTGGCATGGTGCCACCAACTTACTACTCTCCTGGGATTAGGCAAATCTTTAATTCCTGGGTCTTAGGCTTCAAAGTGCCCACTCCCATGCATGGTCTTTGTGCATGGGTCTATGAGACATCCCATGTCAATCACCTGTCCCAGTGCCTGTCACAGGATGTGTGCTCCCAGGAGCAGAACCCTGGACATCTCTTCCTGTATTAGGGCCTTGACATGAAAGGTGCAGCTGGACACTACCTCTGCCCCAGCCAAGTCCACCCTGAACTCTGAGCTGTGAATGGGCACAATGGCCAGATACCTACCTCTGACATTTCCCATCTGTCCCCTTCATTCCATCCACAGGACATTTATGGAGTATCTAGTAAACACTGTTGAATGCCTAAGAGAAAAGTATGAGTGAGAGTGGAACCCTGCCTGTCCTCAAGGAGTTTCTCATCTAGTGGAGGAGCTCATAGCACAGGAGCACCGAAGGGCTGAAATTCCTACTACCTCCTCTCTTCCCTGCCCACTCTTTCATCAGCGTGAGTCCTCCTCCTCTCCCTACTTGAGCCTTGGTCCTGTTCTTTCCTCTCTTTCAGCCTTTCACTTCCATGGATGACCATTTAATTCTATTGTAAAGGACTGAATGGGACTTCTGTAAAAATCTATTTTGCCCTTTTTATTACATCAGTCATCATTTCACAATGGATACTGATTCATGATCAGAGATAGGACAAGTGGACAATCTGAAGTGTATTTTTGGTCACTTTGTGTAGCCACCATTTCTAATTTTGATCTCAACACCTGCATCCTGAGATTCTTTCATTCGCCAAACATTTATGGAGCCCCTACCCTGGTCAGGCACTTTTGTAAGCATGAGGAATAGAGCAGCTAGCAAAGCAAAGTCCCTCTCTGCACGGACTCACATTCTAAAGTACAGGTGGATGAAGAACAAAGTGCTATATGATCTGGCGCCTGGTAGTATGATAAATGCCGTGTAGAGAAATGAAGCAGGATAAGGGATTAGAGATTGCTGTTGGAGAACAGGGTGCTCTGATAGACGGGGTGGTCAGAAAGTCCTCTCTGAAAGCAATAGGAGTCAGACAGCTAACTGGGGAGAGAGCCTTGCAAGGTCCAAGGGATAGAGGGTGCAATGGCCCTGAGGCCAAAACTACTTGAGGTGTGTGATAATCAGCAAGGAGGACAGCATGATTAGAGCAGAACAGGGAATGGGAAGAGGCTTAGGAGATGAGGCAGGGCCATGTAGGTTACTGCCAAGACTGTGCTTTTTTTATTGAGTGACAAACGAAACTGTTGGAGGGTTCTGAGTAGGGAAGTGAAGGTGTCTAACTTTTGTTCTGTAGGAATCCTGTGGCTACTTTGTGGAGAATATACTATAGGAAGAGAAGAGTGAAGGCTAAGTGATTAGTTGCAGCAGACAAAGGAAGGCTGGGATTGGGGTGGTAGTGGCGGAAGTGACAAGTGATTGAATTGGGGATATATTTTAAAAGCAGAGCCAACAGTGCATGTTGGCTCTAAGGTCCTGGACCAACTCTGTCGCCAACAGCTATTTGAATAATCACATAAAAGGAGAAAAACAAAATTTTAAAACACAATCATCTTAACAGTTTACTCATTATTAAGAATAATACCCAGTGGCCAAGAGAACTAAATCAGGACCTGAAAAGAGAGTCAAGGATAGGCAAGACGCCTGTAAATAGTCATCGCATGCTGATTTGGAAGAATTTTTTAATATTTAGCTATTCATATAT